GGTCAGAGTGCTTCATAAGCATGAAATGAACAAATCCAACTGGTTTTCCAACTTTTAACAAAAACACAGTTAGCTTAGTTGAAGTATGATTCTAAATGGAAGGCAAAGTTACATGCATATTCTTTAATAAATAACTAAGTTATTTTTTCATGATTCTATTTAGAATTATAGGCAGATTGAAATGAGATATATAAACTAAATTTGTTAGCTAAATGCAGCCCTGATCACGTCTCTGGATGGATTAGCAGAAGCTAGCTTTGTCTAAACAGTCTGTATTAGGACTGGGCCAGCCATGTCTTCAACAAAGTATCCATGACAACCAACAGCTGTACTGATGGATGCTAGTACTCCTTTGCATTTCCAATACGTCTTTAGGTTTTTGTCCCAAAAATTCTTTAAAAATCAAGAACACATGCATAGCGATCACTGCAGTGTACAACTGTTTTCTATATATATCCCTTCAATTTTGGGCACTTATACAAATCTATTGGAAGCTATTGCATCCCATTTGTTGATCATTGCAATGGAAAAAACAAGATGGCTGACGCAGGGGAAAAAGACCAAACACGTTGGCTATTTTGGTTTCTACAGCGGAGTAGAGGAACCACCACTTTAACAGAAAACCAGATTACAAATTAAAACTAATTTACAACTTTATATATGCAACTACCTTATTGTTTTTTTTTTCACAACATGACATGCATAAAGTACACTTGAATGGACAGATAAACATTTCTTTATAGAATTAATAATCAGAATTAGAAGAAGACCTACGACATACTGAATGTAAAACCTTGTTTTACTTTCCTAAGGATGTTAAAAAACAATTAGTAAAAAAATCCTGACTGAGTTTATAATTCAAGCATGAGAGGAAAACACAATTGAGTCTGCTATCACTGTTTCTTTAATGGACCTAATTTCTGCAGTCTGACAAAGTCTGAAAAAGTATTTTTTGTTTCTGGAAAACATGGGAAATAAAAATAAACATTGAAAAATTGTGGTTTTCAATCTTTGTTTCATGCTTAATGTTATACTTTTTCTGAGTATGACATCCATCCATCCATCCATCCATCCATCCATCCATCCATCCATCCATCCATC